ACGTCATTGTGCTCACGCTTTCTAGAGCATTGCTCTTGAAAATTTTTATAGTAATATTCCTCTTTTTTGGGGGTCTTTCTAGAATCTAGAGTATAGCTACATAGATTTGTAGAATAATGTTTCTTGGTTTTCTAGAATAATATTTCCTTGCTTTCTGCATTATTGTTGCCACGTGTTCAAGAATATTTCATTCTAGATTTCTAGGGAAATATTTTTAGCTTTCTGTAATATTGTTTCCACATTTTCTATAGTATTGTCCCCTCGTTTATAGCGTTTTGTTTTATTGCGTCCTAAATTAAGATTTCGCTATTTAGATTTAGTTTTTTCCTTTCTACAATTTTATCCCCTTGCTCCATTTTAACATCGCTCCATTTTAAATGTATAGGAATGTATATATTGATTTTAATGCATGACCTAATATTTGATTCTCCTAAAGCTTCGTATTGTTACAAAACATTTTATTACTCCATAATATAACTGGAGTAACTGGACACAACTCGATTGCGCTATTTCAACCTACGGTGTATTTACCGTAATGTACTAATTTACTTTCAATAACGGTTTTTAAAAAACATTTTTTATCATTTTTAATCTTGACGAGGTTATACTTTCCATCGATGAACGCTCTGCATATTGATCAGTTCTCTGGCCTGCCATGAACGCAGAACTCTGTTCAAAACTGCCTAGAACTGCGTAAAACTGCCTAGAATTGCGCAGAACTGCCTAGAACTGCGCAGAACTGCCTAGAACTGCCTAGAGCTGCCTAGAACTGCCTAGAACTGCCTAGAACTGCGCAGAACTGCCAAGAACTGCCTAGAACTGCCTAGAACTGCCTAGAACTGCGTAGAACTGCGTAGAACTGCCTAGAACTGCGTATCCTAGAACTGCCTAGAACTGCCTAGAACTGCCTAGAACTGCCTAGAACTGCCTAGAGCTGCCTAGAACTGCGCAGAACGTTACGGCTGTTTTGAACTTTGTTAATCATCGAGCCTATTGGTGTAAGGGATAGAAATCATTGTTATTTAAATATCGGAACATAAATGGTATAAGTTGTTCAGAGTCCGGAATTTTAAATTGTCATGCCAATAAAAATAATAACTATAATAAAAATAATAATATAATCAAAGCATTAACAATAACAATAATGGAAATATAAAATTATTGTACTAAAATGAATACAATATTGATGAAAGTTATAATATTAACAATGATTATAATAATAACTAGCTAGTTTTTATTTAAAACATAGCCTAAAAATACTCAAACGTCTACATTATTTATGAACTCACAACAATTATAGAGTGTATAGTGATGAAATATTTTACTACAAAATAAAAGAAAACACAATTTAAAGACAAACATCTGAAAGACTTAATGGGTCGTGAAAAGTGTAAAAAAAATGAGACGCCGACCCGAATAGCTTTTTGTGTGGCGCCTGCAGACCTCGACATTTGATGGCAACCGCGGCAATGTTGTTCGTACCTAAACTATTCATAATAGTTTTATTATTAAACAAAACTTTTAAAACCTAGTTATATAAACCGTTGTTATTGCTATTCCTACCTAAAGACCAGGTAACGAGAGTGGGTGTTCGTAGACAAGTCGGATTATATGGCGAACATAAAAGCAATTAAATGGCAATAAATATTGTAGAGGCTCTTAAACGTTTGCAGCAGTCGCTTGTAGCTGCGGTGTACGAGTAAATAATCCTTATCGCTGGCAGCTGTAATTCTCTTGCAGCTGTAATTCTCTAGCAGCTGTAATTCTTTAGCAGCTGTCATTCTGCAGCAAATGTATTTCTTTATCAGCTGTAATTCTCCAGCACCTGTAATTCTCTGGCAGCTGTAATTCTCTGGCAGCTGTAATTCTCATGCAGCTGTTTTTCTCCAACAGCTGTTTTTCTCCAGCAGCTGTTTTTCTCCAGCAGCTGTTTTTCTCCAGCAGCTGTAATTCTCTAGCAGCTGTAATTCTCTAGCAGCTGTAATTCTCATACAGCTGTTTTTCTCCAACAGCTGTTTTTCTCCAACAGCTGTTTTTCTCCAGCAGCTGTAATTCTCTAGCAGCTGTAATTCTCATGCAGCTGTTTTTCTCCAGCAGCTGTAATTCTCCTGCAGCTGTTTTTCTCCAGCAGCTGTAATTCTCCAGCTGCTGTAATTCTTAATGAGCTAAAAATTTTAAACAAAAGCAACACTCGGGGTATAGCGACGCTAAGTATAGCGCACTGCTAGCGCTGCTCAATGATTTATTATGAGAATAAAAAGCGTACAAAATTACAGACAGGAATTGATGGCTTGAGCAGCAGAAATGTCCATTGTCCGAATAGCGATGCACTTTTGGCGCGTGTGTGGGTCATCCTGACCCAGTTTGGCCAGTAAAAGTGCGTATCAGGGCTACGTCCGCTGTCAGCTGGTGCTGGGGGTAAGAAGCTGCGCCACTATTTGGACAATTTGAGCCGTAATTTTTTATGAGTGAATTTTTCGATTATTTTCAGTCAGAGCAGCAATCGCGTCGTGAATTATAGGTTAAATTTAAATCGGTTGAGGACTAAATAACATAACGGCATAAATAGCATAAAACATTTCTTGAAAATTTTCTCAATCTTGAAAAATTTTTCTTTACGCTTGTAAAGCTCTAATGTTAATCTTCATTCGTTTCATTTTATGTCGTAATCAGGGTTTGCGTCTAGGTCGATATTTTGAGTAGGCAGTCCGCACATTTAGAGTGATAAACAAACAATTATGCATGAATAAATAAACGAAAAATATATTCACAATTGAGCTTCACTCTGTCAAGCATAATTTTTTCATTTTTAATTGTATGCTGTTTCACTATATGTAGATCTATGTGCATGTTGCTGTTAATTTCTTATTTTGTATCTATAAACCATAACAAATTTTCCTTCTCCACTATAAATAAATCACTTGACAAAATTACCTAATCAAATCCCCTATTTTTACTTACTAAAATAAACTATTATATATTTTGATACCCATTATAAGTAGCAGAATTCAATGCATTGAATAAATATCATTTGATGTATTTTCTTTATATAATCTATCCGATTGTATTGAAAAATCTAAAGTAAATTTCTTCAGGCATTCAAGAACAACAATGTTGGCATGAACTCCCAACAATTGCGGTAAGAATAGCATGAGGAACGTACGAAGAAATGAAGCGCAGCATCGGCCCGATGATCGCGTGTCACAAGATCGCGTCGCTCACATTTTAGCCTCTTCGCTCACACGCTATTTGGCGGCCGACACACCCGCACATGTACGAAACATCTGCATACGTACACGTGTTCACATACGTGCGTCACGTGCTTACTGCGTGCAGGCACGTTATTGTTCCGCTATCGTGCACTACGCATTTATACATTATCAGCATGAATATTTTAATATAATTCTGTGTGAACTGTCATAGCAGCATTTGACTCCGCTCTCCCTCGGGTTCTACAGTCACTTATACATGAGCCGCCAGGCAGCAGATAAAGCACTTAACTCGCCAATCCTCCATAAAGATCATATAATAAGGGTCAGAACTACAATTTGTAGGTTTAGATTTATTCACACTAACTACAAAGCTATTTAGATCGCGCTGGTAAGTTTAAGTTCAGTTTTGTTTATAAAAGAATATAGTATTTATTGAAGGCCGGTGACTATAAAAAAAGATCGACTATAAAAAAAGATCAACGCCATCTCGTGCTGGCTGCTAGAAATACTTTGATACTCAGGCAGGCATCATCAGATGACAGATGTCTGATATAATGTGCATTTGTTGTGACAGCTTGTCATGCATGAAAATATGGGATCAAACAGACATAGATCGAGAGATCGAAATAAAAAAAACATCATGCTACCGCAACCCAATAATACAAACATGTAAAGACACAATAATACAAATATGCCAGGACACAATAATGTAAACATGTCAGGACACAATAATGTAAACATGCCAGGACACAATAATGTAAACATGTCAGGACACAATAATGTAAACAAGCCACGACTCGTGCGAGTGTTGAACGTCAGCGCAGTGTCCGCGTAGGCTGTCTTGACAGACGAGATTGTTAAAAAATGTCATTAAATGAATGCAAACTCGTCTCTCCCTCTTTCCCACTCTTACAAGTCACTCTCTCCCTCTTACGAGCCACTCTCTTCCTCTCATGCAGGCCACTCTCTCACATTTACAAACCACTTTCTCCCTCACTCTCTCTTACAAGAAACTCTCCCCCTTATTACGAGCCACTCTCTCGTCCTCTCACAAGCCACTCTCTCCCTGTCTTTCGAACCACTCTCTCCCTCTCCTAGAAGTCACTCTTTCCTTTTCATACAAGCCATTCTTCCTCTCGTACAAGGCATGCACTCTCTCTCTCTCTCACACAACCCACTCTCTCCCTCTCTTACAAGCCACTCTCCCTCTTATACAAAGCACTACCTCCCTCACACAAACCACTCTTTCCCTTTCTTGCAAGCCACTTTCCTTCTCTCACAAGCCATGCACTCACTACTTCTCATTCAAGCCTCTCTACCCCTCTAATACAAGGACTCTCTCCCTCTCATACGAGCCACTCGATCCTTCTGTTAGAAGTCTTACAAGCCGTGGACGTGGTCAGTTCCACGAGACGTGGTCAGTTCCACGAGACGTGGTCAGTTCCACGAGACGTGGTCAGTTCCACGAGACGTGGTCAGTTCCACGAGACATTCCCTGTTCAAATTTAACCTTGATTATCTTGAGACCAACAATTGACCTGTACCAGTATACGCATTGTTCTAAATGTCCAAAGTATTTATAAGCAAATGCTTTATTGCTATGAAGATATAATAAGAATTTATTTTTAGTGGAATATTTATTCGGGATGTAGAAACTCCTGATAAATGTAATAACCATGCGCTTTTAGTGAAGAAATATGAATTAAAATTAATGCTTTTCTTTACTGCTTTATTTGTCTTCCGCATCTGTTTAATAAATACTCGATTTGAGGCTTATGGATGAAGAAAACGCGTCATGTTCGCATCTGGCTGGGATAGCAACAATGACGACAGAAAGTGAATTATAAAAAATCAAAGACGATTTTCAAATTTAAATTTTCACATGTGTTTTGGAAATCAAACTAGGATAAAACTGATTCTGTGTTGAACTCAAGTGAAGGAATGAAATTTACAGTTTCAAAAAATTCCCGTCTCAGTTCCTCTTTCGTGTAAGTAATTTATTTGCATCTCCTTTTCTAATTAAGGCAATTTTTTTAACTATGGATTCAAATGAACGTCGAGTTCCCCATTTCCTTCGAACCACCAACATTGCTTGTGTCAAAAAAATCGTGTTGTCTTTCATGATGTTAAAAGTCGACCAAGTGATCAGCTCCATGTAGAGCTCATTAAGTGATCGCCGTATTAATTGTTTATGGCTAAACACTGTTCAAAATAAGTCTTTCAGCGCAAATAATTGGATATAATTATGTTCTCATTCTAATTATTTTTTTCATCACTTCCAGATTCCACAACAGAGACCGTTATAAATTTTCGGCAAGCCTCAGTGAAGTCGTATTTATTGAGCCGCATACTCTAAGCCATTCCTACAGTAAGTGATATTTGAACGGTCATCGAATATAGCTGGGAAAAGTCTTTTTTAAAACCTACGCTTGCAAAAGAACTCCCTCTCTCAAAGAACCTCTCTTTCAAAGGAAGCCACTCTATCAAGGATTCCTCTCTTTCAAAAAGTTTTTTTTCCCTAACCCTCTTTTATTCAAAGGAACCCACTCCTCCAAGAAAACTTTCGAAGAAATTCAGTTCATCAAGGAACCGTCCCTCTCAAAAACCCTCTCATTCAAAGGAACCCATGCACTCTTTAAAGTAACCGCCTCTTTCAGAAGAACCCTCTCAATCAAGGAACTCTCTCAATTAAGGAACCCTCTCAATCCCCTTTCAAAGGAATCAACTATTTCAACGAACTTACTTTAAACCCTATACTGCCCAGAACGGAAAATTCATCCACTCATCCACATTTTCTTCAGACTGATTTGCAAACGTATTAATCTGTCCCCCTAAAATCCAGGAACACTACATTGCGACTCGTCGAATTACATACGCATAGTTCTTGTGTCAAGTGTTTTCAAAGAAATGATGTAGGTTGAAACGATATAATAATTTCCATGCATGCATCCACTTTAAAAACTTTTAGGTAGCCTCGAAATGGTATGAAATTTTACATATCTAATGAAGTTTGCACTACAATTAATTCAATGTGGCCCGTGTATATGTGACAGAGATTTGTTTTTTGGTATCTACAAATTATGACTCAGGCCAAGTAACTGAGAAGATATAATTCCATCTTCTGCTTCTGCTGAGGAAAAAAGATGCCTCCTTAAGTGCGGGGTTTCAGCATTTAATGTGAAAAAGCATTTTATATGTTGATCCTATATGTACATAAGCTTCTGAAAATATTAAGCATCAAACTGAGGGTTTTATATGTAATTACAAGAATTTGAGAACTTGAAATGAATGTAATGAATCCATAGCCGCAGCTCGATAATAAAAAAATGTTGAGGGAATTAATGAGTGTGGTGGGAACGGTCCATTTAACTTGTAAGCCCAAGCAAAATTTAGATGTGCGCCCGACCCTGCAAAAGGCGCCGCCCAAGACTCGGGCATCACGTGAATCAGGCGCTTTGTGTCCGTTCGGCCGGGCTTAAATGGCAGTCTCTGCAGGGGCTGTTAATAGTGAAAACTGGTAATTATGAGCCTTCAAGTTGAAAATTGTTCATGGACAGGCTAGTGGAAAAGTTGCAAGTGAAATAATAAAACACATGGCCTCTAAATTTTGAATAAATACATATAGGTTCTCCCAGTTGATAAGCCCCAGGCTACCATATTCATCACCTCTCTACCAACCCAACATTCCTCTGACATGGGTAAGAGTAACTGCGAGGGGCTGGAGCGAAGCCTCAAGCTGTTCCTGACGTTCATGTTTAGCCACGTGGGACTGTGCACGTGCGTAGCGGCCTACACGGTAGCAGGGGCGTTTCTCTTCAGGTACTTAGGCCTGCAGCACGTGGTAGATGAGAGCTCTGAACTGAATACATCCACCGGGGCGCGACTAGCATCCACAGACACACAATTGGCCGCCGTCGGAGTGATGGCCACAGCTGCCGCAGGGATAGCCGCCGTGGACAAAAGTATGGCGGACGAACGAGCCCAAAAGATCCAAAAAATCGCAACCTACGTCGACATGTTGGGAGACTCGGGAGGTGGGTAGAGGGACACGAGATCTTAAGTATATTTGTCCAAGTTTGTGTTGTGCGCCTAGCGCCTTGATGTATAGGTGCATGTGGGGCACGTATATGGGATACTTATTTTGTCGGGATATTGCCTGCGCCTGAAAATTTGTACTCAGTGGGCGAATAAGAGAAGATTGGAGGACAAAGAGGAAGGGATTGGATGAAATATTGAAAATTTATTTTGCAATTGGTTAACATAAATTATAATTTAGGGGACGTAAAATAGTATTTTTCCATGTTTTGAAAAAGAGTAAATGGGAGTCCTTGTTGAATTTAGAATTTCTAGAAATGCCTTTATGTAATAAATCGTTCGCTTGGTGCGTGTATGTCGTACACAACTTAGTTGTAGTCGATTTAAATCTACGTACTTGGTTTCAGTTTGATGCTGGATCTCGACTAACTTGGTAGTAGGAAATATTTGGGACATCTTTCAGTTATAGGAATCCTGTTCTGAATATTTACACGCTATTTAAGCTCTGGCTTATTCATGTTCGAATTAAAGTATTTTACTTGTTGACCTCAAGTGCAATAATATTTTCATGTCCACTTTTTTTACAATTGTTCGGTGTTTGTTTGCCGAAACCGATTTCACCAAAAAATTCACGAAAATTCGGTGTGTATTTAAATCCTATACGGACCTGGTAAACATTACAGTTCTATCTTTTATGTACAACGTGGCTTTGAATGGGTCATTGCCGAATATGCCAGGCCAATCTTCATTTTTATATTAACGGGATTAGCGGGATTCGGGATTATGGGGATGACAGTCTTTTTTTGGGGAGGGGGGATCAGACTTCCATAATTGCAGCAATTATCAAACCCTGGCAATGCCGGAACACTGTTTTTTTTCTTCTTTGTTTAATTAGAAAACAAACTGAATTTTTTTAATATCGAAAAAACATATTGGCTATTAAGAGAATTGCTGCAAACAGCATCCAAAAGCTACAAGAAATAAGAGCTCTAAATTGCTAGTTACCAACTGTACAGAATTTAATCATGCACAAATATTTGAAGGCTTTATTGAAGAATATTAAATATAAAATTTGAGTTCTGGAAATGGATACGAAGAAAAAGAATCCCGTTGCATTATGAAATACTATTTCTCTGGATTGCGGCCACCGATATCTTAATTCTGGATTATGGTTGAAAACGACCACTAATTTTGTGCGGCTAAAGTCCGGTGCAACATTTATAAATGGGTCTCATTTCACAAGTTCTTTGATTTTAAACTGCTAAGAATTAAAACGTGTTCTTGCTTTGCAGAGAAAGATCCTGAAATGTGGAGAAGAAATCTATCATCTATGATCGCGGTGAGTTTAGCCGTGCATTTAAATACGGGTTCCATACAACTAATCAACAACTCTTTTTCATATTATTATCTCACACACATAGCGTAAGTATTATAAAATCTTTGTTCGTACTATATTATTTTATTTCTTTAATCATATTCAATATTTATTTATATATTATTTATGCATTTAATTATATGTTTATTATTTATTTAATTATATTCATTTTATTCATTAATTCTACTTATATAGCATGAAATTTTTTTCATTGCCTCCACGCTTTTAAAACCATGTGTACTGACGTGTCCTTTCGTTCCCAATACATGAGGTATGAATGTCAGTGATGGCGGTAATGGTATTGGTAGTAAAAAGGTTAACCCTTTGTCTACTGACGGTAACGCTTGTTACAAGGTTATCAGGCACGAATAGCATTAGCATTAATGACGTTAATTAAATGTATCCGTAGACAAAAATCTGGCAACCTTCAATCCTAATATACGAGCATTATAGTTGCAATTACAAATTTTAATTAGGGTAGGATTCGGGGGAGAACTGCTATGGGGCGAAGTATTTGTTCTTTTTCATGGGGGTAAAACTCTGGGTTTTTAGGGTAAAATCTTTCATGGGTAAAGCTCTGGGTTGTTTAGGGTAAAAAATACGACGCTACGTTGCGGGTTGCGGGTATATAAGTAGCTGGGCGTGCTGCGTCAGGAGCCATTCAAGAGCTAGGCAGTCTTGAGCCTGGTCGTGAGTCTTGAGCCGCGAATAGCATTTTTTAATAAAAATATAACAGAATATATGGTAATTAGTGGATAAAGGCAATAATCAAAATGCATGGTAATAAATATATCAAAGAACTAATCAAAATTCGTGATGATCAACTAATTAATAAATCCCAAAGGACCTTGAGGCTCCTCGACCAGCGGGCGCTGTGGACGGGGGCCAGGCCTCAGCGGCTGCCCACAACTCCAGCGCTGAGGACACACTGAGCCTCCCCAGCTGCCCCACACTGAGCCTCCCCAGCTGCCCCACACTGAGCCTCCCCAGCTGCCCCCACACTGAGCCTCCCCAGCTGCCCCCACACTGAGCCTCCCCATCATATAATATATATATGTACAATCTATTATATTTCACTCTCATCAATAAAGCGTCGTGCTGTAATGTTTTATATTATTTTATATTATACAAATTTAATTTATACTCCCAAATGACAGGCAATTAAAACTTAAATAATTCATAGTTAATTCATAAAACAAGGTTAAGTTCAAGAACAGACTCCAAGTTTTCGAAAATAAATTATATTGTAATGATAATAATGATATAATGATTATAAATAAATTATATTGTAAGGATAATAATGATATAATAATTCTAAATAAATCATATTGTGATGATAATAATAAAATAATCATTATAAATAAATTATATTGTAATGATAATAATAAAATAATGATTATAAATCAATTATATTGTAATAATGAAAATAATGAAATAATGATTGTAAATAAATTATATTGTAATTATATAATGATTATAAATAAATCATATTGTGTTTATAATAATAAAATAATGATTATAAATAAATTATATTGTAATAATTAATGTAATGATGTGAACGGCAGGATGATGTCGCCACTCCCTTCATCAACTCACTCTTCTACTGCGTGACCGTCATCACCACCATCGGTGAGTGGCCGCGTCATCACCACCATCGGTGAGTGGCCACGTCATCACCACCATCGGTGAGTGGCCGCGTCATCACCACCATCGGTGAGTGGCCGCGTCATCACCACCATCGGTGAGTGGCCGCGTCATCACCACCATCGGTGAGTGGC